CCTTCCTCCCTCCCTTCCTTCCTTCCTTCCTTCCTTCCTTCCTTCCTTCCTTCCTTCCTTCCTTCCTTCCTCTTTTTTATTTTTCTTCTTTTACTTATGTCCTTCCTTTCTTCTCTCTTCCTTCCTTCCCTCCTCTCTTTCTCTTTTTTTCATTGTTCTGGGGCTTGAACTCAGATCCCTGAGTATTGTCCCTTAGTTTGTTTGCTCAAGACTAGGGCTCAATCACTTAAGCCATGCCTCCACTTCTGGTTTTTCTTTGGTGATTAACTGGACTGAAAAGTCATACCGACTTTTCTTCTTGGGCTGGCTTCAAACCAGGATCCTCAGATCTCAGCCTCCTGAAGAGTTAGGATTACAGGCGTGAGCCCTAGGCCCTCAACTGGATTCCTCTTTCAAATGGCAATTTATGAAACCCAGCGAGCTTTGAAAGAATGTACATCCCATCGTAATTTCTCCTTCAGGGGAAGGATGGAGATCGCTTGCTCCCAACGGGGCGCTTAGGGGGCCCCAGGGAAGAATCCTGTAGCCACAGGTTTCAGGGCAGCACTTTCTCTGTATCTGTAAAGCACCGCTAGGACTGAGGGGTGAAAGCGAGGCTCTGCTCCCCTCTAGTGTCACTATTTGGGAACTACACTTGTGTCCAAACCCTGATAAGCCGGCTCTTTCAACCCTCTCATTTCATGAATGAAGCTGTTCAGGCTCAGTGCTCATACCATTAAAAATAATAAAACAACAGGTGGTATTTGTTGAATTTTTGTATGTGTCAATCATGTAAAATATTTTCAGGCAGTATCTGTGTGTGTGTGTGTGTGTGTGTGCTTCTGTTCATCTCCTAAGGCCACAGTGACTCATTTCACATATCAGGTGGTGTTCATTCTCAGGGTCCTGGAAGTGAGAGGTGTGGAGTTGAGTCAGCAGCAGGTTGGGTCTGATCTAGGCGCTCTGTGAATGTCTGTTCCTGTCTCCTCTCCTCACTTCTACTGGTCGATGGTACTCTGGGTCCCTTGTCTTGTAGACGCAGCATTCGCATTCGGCCGTCTGCCTCTGTCATCTTGTGTTCTTCCTTGTGGCTCTGTGTCCAGATTCCTGTCACTGAGACTTCAGCCACTGGCCGAGGGCACCATTCCTGAGTGGCCTCATCTTCACCTGCTTACACCTGCAAAGGCCCTACGTCCAAATAAGGTCACATTCACAAGACCACGATGAGGACTTGAACATAGCTTTGGATGTGGGGGGTGGTGAGGCACAATTCAAACCATAGCAGACAGCAGGAAAGGTGAGGCTTCTTTAAACTTGTAGGCGGAGCTTCTACATTCGGAGGGCAAAGATAGCATTCATCAGATTGTAGACCATTTGTTGACTGATTCCTTCCTTCCTTCCTTCCTTCCTTCCTTCCTTCCTTCCTTCCTTCCTTCCTTCCCTCCTTCCTTTCCTTTCCTTTCCTTTCTTTCCTCTTTTGTGCCAGTTTTGAGGCCTTGGACTTAGGGATGTGGATGTGCTGTCCCTGAGCTTTTGTGCTCAAGGCTGGCACTCTACCACTTGAGCCACATCTCCACCTCCAGCTCTTTGCTAATTCATTGGAGATAAGAGTCTCACAGATGTTTTTTTCCTGCCCAAGCTGGCTTTGAACTGCGATCCTCAGATCTCCACTTCCTGAGTAGCTAGGGTTACCGGCCCATAGATTTCTAAGTGCTTTGATTAAGGGGCTTCCCGGGGTGGGGTGGGGGTGGGGGAGTATGTTTCTATTACAGGGAAGTTGGGAGCTCCGAACAGAGTCACCCGCAGAGCAGCGATACCCCATGTTACTGTGGTCCGCGGCGCCTCTTCAGCAGCCAGCATGGGTACCAGAGTCCCAGTGCTTCAGCTTCATTCTCTAAACATGAGCTAGGATAGGGCTTTCGGCCCATGTGAGGAGTGAGGGATACAGAAATGGCTGCAAGAGCCTGTGATCTCCATCAAAACCTCTTGAATCTGGTCCCACAAGACTGCACCCTGTAGCACCAAGACAGGTCCCTGCGGGCCCCCCCCCCCGGCTCCAAGAGACACGCCTGTCACACTGCAGGTCAGGCAGTGCTATGGAATGACCCAGTCTCCCCCAAATCCATGTATTGAAGATCTACTCTTCCCCCTCCCCCAATATGCTGGTGTTTGGAGATCGAGCCTTTGGAAGGTCACTAGGATTACAAGAGGTCGTAGGGTGGGGGCTTGTGACAGGGTTAGTGGCCTCCTGATGGATAGGGGTTGAGACTGATTGGTTTTTCTTCCCCTCTCTCCTGTGGGAAGACTCAGCAAGTGGCTGGCCGCGAGCCAGCACTGGGTCCTTACCAGGAACCAACTCCGTGGTGGAGTTCTCAGCTTCCAGAATGGTGAGAAATAATTGTGTCTAGCCTGGTGCTGGTGACTCACACCAGTCATCCTACATACTCAGGAGGCTGAGAGCTGAGGATGGAAGTTCGAAGCCAGCCAGGGCAGGAAAGTCCGTGAGACTCTTATCTCCAATAAACCATCAGAAAACCAGAAGTGGCGCTGTGGCTCGAAGTGTTAGAGTGCTCACCTTGAACAAAAGAGTTCTGGGACAGCGCCCAAGCCCTGAGTTCAAGCCCCATGACAGACCAAAACAAACAACAACCCCCAAACAAGCAAACAACCCACCCTTGAAAAAAACCCAAGCAAGCAGAGAAACAGGTGTCAATTGATTCAGCGCCCCCTATGGGTGGTATTTCATTATAGCACCCAAACTGCTAAAACCCTCCTTGCCTTGGGTTTTTAGGGTTAGTGCTTGGTTAGAGCAATTTCCTGGGCTAGTGGCTCCTGCATGGCTGTCACCTGATACACCGTGAGTGCCACCAGCACTCAACACCAGCCAGGCAGGGGAGCAGAGCAGTCCCCCCACCCCGCCAGAACCCAGGTATCCGCATCTTCGGGTGTCATGGTGGGGGCTCTGGGTTCCTCCTTCCTTTGTGTTCGCTTGTGTGGATCAGAAAGGAGGAAGCGCTGCAGGTCTTCCGGGGGGCATTGCTCAAAGGCTCTGTGCCAGTGGCCTGTGGCACTTGGTGAATTCTTGCTTTAGAGGCACACGAAAGAGCTAGGACTTAGCACTCAGCACTGGCCCAGTAAGCCTTCGTAAGCTCTCGGGAATCCCCACTTCCTCTCCCCCGATAGGAGGCTTTCTATTCTCCCATGGCTTCTAGACTCCAGGCTGTCGATCTGCTCTTATGAGGCCCACTCAGAATGGAAATCAAGCCTATACTTTTTTTTGTTTTTGTCAGTCATGAGGCTTGAACTCAGGGCCTGGGTGCTGTCCTCAAACTCATTTGCTCAAGGCCAGTGCTCTACCACGTTGAGCCACAGCTTCAGTTCGGATCTTCATTGCAGATAAAAGTCTTAAGGACTTTCCTGCCCTGGCTGGCTTTGAACTATGATGCTCAGATCTTGGCCTCCTGAGTAGCTGGGATTACAGGCGTGAGCCACCAGCACCTGCCCCT